GTTCTACTCAAAATACATTAGACTTACTAGTACAGAAACTAGAACAGATTTAGGTTTAAATATATATATATATATATATATATATATAATATAGGATTGAGTTTCGTTCCTCAGTCCATGTAATAACTACTGGCTCTAGCTATTGTGTGTATACAACAAACAAGGATCAGAGATTTTAAGAAGCTGATACATGCTTTACATGGAAAACCCTTCACCAGAGTGCAAGATGGGAGTATCTGTGAGAAATTAAGAAACCCATATTAAACTATGGTCATAATGTTAGCTGTCTTACTTCTATTAATTTAGAAGCCATTATTAATCTTGAGGGAAGTAAACTCTTGTTATCTGTAGGTGAATGGGCTGCTGTTCCTTTGGCATTATCTATGTATGGGAAAACTAAGCATTTTGTTGCACCAATGCTATCAACAGGGAGACTATGGTGTAGACTGAACAGATTTACACAGTATTAAAAGCCTATCTGTCTACACAGTAGCTTCTGCTGTTTGTAGCACTGGTACAGAAAAGTCTTATGTACCTCACTTTTGGTGTGATATTAGCCTGCCTGAATGCATAGAGTTTAATCAGAAGAAGCTGTAAGGGGGAAACTTGCTTCAAAAGAGGTTAAGATAACAGTGGCTGAGCCATTAATTGGGAAGAAGCTACTTACCTGGCTCCATCCGAGCTAGAATGGCTTGCTCTTCCCGGTGCTAAACCTAGGAGCAAAGGAGGATACTAAACCATTGCAGGACACCAGGCCAAAAAAGGGGAGTTGGTTGAGTTATTTGCCAGGGAGCATCAGTGAGAGCTGACAGGCATGAGAGAGAGGCAAACTGCAACAGAATAGTCTGCTTCTACCAACTCAGAGATGGTGCTAACTGGTCTAGATAAATTATACCAGAGTTGGCAAGGAAGGACTAAGAGTTAGGTAAGGGAAAATATACATATAGATGTTTACTGGTTTTACTCTTTGGTCTGTGTGCTTTGTACCTTTGCATGAATGTGTTTCGAATGAGCTGTTTTTGATTCATTTTAATAAGCTGCTGTCACAGGTTCCTGGAATGAAAGAGCTTACAAATGCCAAACCCACCTGGGCTGTTGCATTAATACAGTGGGAAACAGGGAGGCTGATATTCAGAGATCCAGTCTGACGGTAGTTGAAGAGCATAGTTCTACCCAAAGAGAAGTGAAGGTAGCATGGCCCATACTCAAGAGGGATTAAGACAGATCTAAAGCATGTTTACAGGGAAAACAATGAAACTAGTACTTAGTAAAAGAGAAACATTAACTTACTGTGGCCAAATACATTTCCTAAGACCATTGAATCTACTTTGTAAATGCTATATAGTTATCTATTGTATGCCTGAAAAGTAAGTCAGTGTACAAAAAAGTACATTATCAACATGAGGTTGAGAATGCTGATAAATCAATGATTAAAGATGAGAAATGTTTACATTATCTTTTTGAACAGAACTAACACAATATTTTGATGTACCACAGGTAAATTTTTCCATAACCTTATGGAGAAAAAGGACTTTGAAGCATGGCTTGATAACATTTCTGTTACATTTCTTTCTCTGACGGACTTGCAGAAAAATGAAACTCTGGATCACCTGATTAGCTTGAGTGGAGCAGTCCAGCTCAGGCACCTCTCCAATAACCTAGAGATTCTCCTTAAGCGGGACTTCCTCAAACTCCTTCCACTGGAACTCAGTTTTTATTTGTTAAAATGGCTTGATCCTCAGACCTTACTCACATGTTGCCTCGTGTCAAAGCAGTGGAATAAGGTTATAAGTGCCTGCACAGAGGTGTGGCAAACTGCTTGTAAGAACTTGGGTTGGCAGATAGATGATTCTGTTCAGGACCCTCTGCATTGGAAGAAGGTTTACTTGAAGGCTATTTTAAGAATGAAGCAACTGAAGGACCATGAAGCCTTTGAGACATCCTCATTAATTGGACACAGTGCCAGAGTATATGCACTTTACTATAAAGATGGACTTCTTTGTACAGGTGGGAAGCCCAGTAGCCTTGGAGTCTATTGTGATGCTTAAAGATTTCTCATCTTTGAGCTTTACCCTTTGTTTGGTAACAATATAGTTTGTTTAAGCTGATTTATGATAGCTGTGCTGTTGGTGGTGTTGGAGGAGGGATGGAATTGTAAGGAGTGAAGGTGGGAAACTGGGAGGCCATGCACCTAGCAATTAAGTTGAAACTGTTGCAGTTGTGTTTGTGTAATACTGAGACTTCATCGTTCCCTGAAAACTAGACCTTTCCTCATTAAGTAAGTCTCACCTGTCATGAGTGGAGAGGAAATACTTAATTTAAGACAAACATGGGGAAAAGCCCAGTAGAAGTCTGGGAATTACATGTCACTTTAATGCAGCCAGCTATCGTGTTCTTAAACTATAGGTTCAGATGACTTGTCTGCAAAGCTGTGGGATGTAAGCACAGGGCAGTGCATATATGGTATCCAGACACACACTTGTGCTACAGTGAAGTTTGATGAGCAAAAGCTTGTAACGGGATCCTTTGATAACACAGTAGCATGTTGGGAATGGAGCTCAGGGGCCAAGATCCAACATTTCAGAGGGCATACAGGTGCAGGTATGTTGAGCTTTTATTCAACTTTTAAGTCCATCAGTCAAATTGTGAATTTATCCCTATCAAATTAGAAACGGAGATTGGAATTGGACCATTGTACTGCAGACACTGCTATTTGTGCTGTAAGTTTAATACTGTGAATCAGTTTCTCATCTTTTTTGAGGGGGAACCTGCCGGGGGGGGAAATAACCAACACAAAACTACAAATATGCCCACTAGCTCTGCTTGCTCTTTGGGGTCAGTCCTAGGCTTAGGTACACCCTGGTCTGCAGGGTCATGGACACAATACAGGTGGTATAGTTCTGGTAGTATAGTACTTGATGCCTGATCAGTGTGATATGGAGCACAATTCACCGGGGCCACTTACATCCCAAGACGG